TGGAAACAATAAAACTATTAACAGAGAGCATGGACACTGCAAAGGGTCTGTTCCTGATGTCTGTACTTTGTTTTCTTTTAATGCTCATGATGACAAATGAGATCCTCACTCAGTTTTAGGTTTCTGTTCCAGCACGTTAGGCAGGCATGAGGGTTTGTGTTTCTTGCTGGGAAGAAGGGAAGATCTTATTTCACTGAAATTTCACTGAAATGCCTTGGCAAGCATTGCAGATTTGTATTTGTAATTGTGCTGCTCACTGCTGAGAACCTTTAGTTGCCTGGCAGACACGAATCAGGGGGCCTAACATCTCACTGGTTCATGTTAATCTATTAGAAGGCACAAACAGCATTTGCAACACATGCAGTAGAGTATTCAGGTCATGTAAAAGGTAGACACTCCTCCACAAGGGCTGATATGAACCTGCTATAGGAGTAGAGATTAACTCCAGTATTTGTGAAGCCTCTAATGAAAGGGGAATCCACTTATCATATCTTAGTAGTTAAAATAGACCACAGTAGCCTGTAAACAAGGGAGTATTTATTCCTTCTTCAGCATCACACTTTACCTCTGAAACTGGACAGGGCAGTAGAATTGATATGAAATAGCCTGTACAATCTGTTTCCAAGCCACTCCTGAATAAACACCCATTGTAAAACACCTGCTTTATATCTGAAATCCTGAAATTAAAAGGCTGAATATTTTCTCTTGATATTACCAGTGATCCAAAGCATTAAGATTTGTGCTAGAACACTGGTTTAAATTAAAATCCTTAAATGCAAATCCTTAAAAGAAGTAGAAAAACATATGCATGCGCCTCAGCAGGTTACGCTGCTTCTCTCAGAGCTTGCAAGATTGTCTTAAAGTTTAACGACTTACAGAACAAAACGACACCTGAACACTCGGCAGCCAGACCGCTGTGGTCCGCGCGAGCCACATGAAACCGATCCAGTGATCTCACCTCCAAAGTGTCTTCTAGGCTGAAGTCCAACTCTGTAGTCTTCTCAGTGTCAAAGTGCACCAAGATCAGCTGGAACACGCACGCAACCGCGCTTCAAAATCCGCTGTTTATTGTTTTTTTTTCACCTACATTTGAGTGAAGAACCCAAAGTAACGATAAATCCACAGAATACGCGCTGTGTTCAGGATGAATAATTCCGAGTTCAGTACAAGAGACGCGCTCCGCTCTCGCGCTAGAGTGAGTGTGGTGAAAGAGCGCGCGCTGAGGTCGTGATAGTAGGTGATGACGCGCGAGCTGAAGCAAGCCAATCAGAGCAGCGTCCCGTCCACGGACCCACGGGAGCAGCGCGCGCCCCCGCGTAGGCGCGTGACCGCTCTCAGTGGTAATTACGGCAGAAAAAAAACGCTTCGGCAAACTTGGAAAGAGGAATTGATTTGAAACTGAAAGTACTCTATTTATAAGTGGTGAATTCCGCAGGGTTTTTCTTTCCCTTTAGCACAATGAACCTAAATTCTGTGAAGCCAATATTTGGTGATCCGTATAGTTGGAGTTTCCAGATATAGCAGTGGTTCTCAAAGTGAGCTCAGGGGATCCCCAGGGATGCATGATTTAAAAAAAATGTAGTTAAATTACAACCCATCGTTATCATATCATTTCTTATATTTATTATTGATTTCTTATATTTATTAGCCTGTTTGACTGGTGACTTGGATTGGTTTAAAAACTAGTGTCAACTTGTACCTAATGTGTTATATCAGTGGAAAGTTCAGGAATAGAAAGCTCTACCAAATATACAAAGTATTACTGTACACATGTGAATAATGCTCATGATATAAATCAGTATTAAGCAGGTCTGTGGAATTTATTTTACACTTAAAAGGTCTCTAGCTTCAAACAGTTGAAGAACCCAAACAGCTATCTACAGTTATATGGTTCCTTGTCACACATTTAAAGGAAAAAAGCCACCAATCTTTATACAAGGCTGTTCAAATGACATCTTTCACCTAAATATATGGATCTTTTTTACCCATGATATTTGCTACTGTTCAGAACACCATGTAGCAAACGATGGCATATGACCTGCTCCTCCTGTTCAGAGAAAGGCTTTCCTTCTCTTATTGCAGCTCAGACGATAAGAGCTCATCTACTCAGTTACTTTTTAATAAGTATGCTTCAGTAGTTGCTTGAAATACAATTGCTTACTCGTTTAAAAAAAATCTGTTCATTACAATTTTGTGTATTACTGCCACTAAAAAAAGTTTTTGTTAATAGTGTACCAGTGGTAAAAACTGAGAATTGGTGCTGTAACTGAAACTGGCCTAAACTGAATGCTGGATTGCGCTGAATTCATAACATGAAATACATCTTATATTAAATCTGATCCAATTCTCTGATGTATTCTACGCTGTGAATGCATGATACAGATCTTGCATGCCAATACAAAATGTCATCAAATAGCACAGCAACTTTACACACAGCAAAGAGTGGGTTTGGTTATCACAAGGATCTTGCTTTTCGGTTACTATCGTGTATCAGATGATACTCGGAACTGATATTGGTTTTGTATGGAAAATGGAAAAAGTGCGATTGATAGTGGTGTAGTATTTATTAGCTTAAAATGACACGGTTATCTGGACTGTACTTGATGTCCTCTCATAATATATTTCTTTAGATAATATGAAATTTTTCAGCACCTTCACCCTAAGAAAACTTCTTGGATGGAATCTTAACTTATTACATTTGGAAATTTGTCTCATTCACACTGCCTTTGAACAGATCAGCAGGGGTATGTGCTTCCTGGAACCACAAAGAGGTCTGTGAATTATCTCCTTAATCTGCATCCAAAAAGATCCTGCTAAGGCTAGGTGACAATGGAACTGAACGTATCCTATTTCATTCAGCTACAGAGTGCTACTTTTGACAACAACAACTGCTCACAGCTATCATATTCAACACCTACACTCCAGGCCCATGGTTACATAACTACTGATGAGAAGATCGTATTGTTCTTTGTGAACGTCTGGAGTGTGGAGGTGTGTGGTAATCAGCATAGCTACTGCATCTTAGAATGGACCGTATAAGAAGTGATGCATTTCACAGCCTGGTACGTGTAAAAGAAGGAGGAGGAGGTATATTAAGATCCCACATGGATACATGACCGATTTCACTTCTCAAAAACAGTTAATACCGAAGTCTCACACTAGTTTATAATCAATTTACAATTTCAGCTGTATACTGAAGTTTTATACCCAAGAATCGATGCTGTAATCATAAAGACTGTGCTCATCCCAGGACTCTTCTTCACAATATGCTCATACTGAACATCGTTTCAACACACTTAGTAGGTTTGACTTTAGTTGTAACTACTTTACTCACTTCACAACTACTTGTTATAAGTCTGATTCCTCGCAAGATTAGGCCCTCATGTTGTCTCAGGGAGTTTTTCCTTGCCACCGTTACCTCTGGTGACCTCAGTTGGAGATCTAAATCTACATATAGATTTCTCTAAAGCTGCTGTGCGACAATGTTTAATATCAAAAGCTCTATTCAGATAAAATTGAATTGAACCGAAAGCTACTGTGGTGGGTTTGTAGCGCACCAAATTATTTCTCTGAACTGCACAGGATGATCTCATTTTGAGAGGAGCTGACCATGTTTCTGCAGGCCTCCTTGGGGGCTTCACACCTTTGCTTAGTGCTGAGGGTGAGAGTCTGACTGAATCATTCACAGGTTACAAGTATGGGAAAAAATCCTACAACAGTTGTTCATGTTATTGGTTAGATTTTGGCTTTTTTTTTTTTTTATGATTATTTTTTTATGTTATGACTGTGTCACTCATCAGAAACTATAGAATAACTTTTCAGTGGATCTAGCCTAAGTGTCCTAGAGAAGTGTTTTCGTGGCATTAGTCAAGGAAAGAAATACTTGTTTTATACGAGGCATGCGAAACAATGTGTTTGGAGAACAACACCACACAATTACGCACACACCTATGACGCTTTGGGAGTTAATAATAGAAGTTGTTTACAGAGACATGACATTATGACTCCTTCAGATTACTTTCATGTTCTTTGAAGGTGTGCCACCTTTCTGTGCCTGGATCAGAATATACTTTTCTTTCCTCAATTCACAAACGTATCATTGTGTCTTTCGTAGTACTCAAAACACACATCTAAGAAACTACGAAACAACTACTGTAATTACTGTAATTGCTACATTCTGACCTTGTTTAGAGGAACATTTTCTTCTCCCAGAGGCAAAGAAAGACACAGTCCATGTCATCTATGTTAAGTAACAGTGGCTTTGAAGTAACAGATGAAAAATGCCAGAAAATTTTCTCCTGCTCGCTTTACAATTGAAATATGAATTCTGCTCTGCGTATTTTTGCCTTTGCCTTTCCTGCAGCTCAACCTCAATTCAGCCTGGCTAGAATACATGAGGAATTCATTAGCTTGCATTTACACACTGTCCAATAGTAGTAGTAGTAGTAGTAGTAGTAGCAGTAGGTGTTGTTTTTAACTGAAATTGCTGTTGTCCTTTTGAGCAGATCTCCCTTGTAAAATATTTTGGGTATTTCCATGACTGGGGTGCCAGTTATCCCATTAAACAGATTTTTTTACATTGAATCAAAGAAAACATGCATTTAACTGTTAAAAAAATGGGTTAACCCATCACAGGCAACAATATTGAATTTGTTTATAAAGATTCTTGGCTGACAATGGCCATATTTTTCTCATGTTTAAAGTAACAGGGTTGAGTTTTCTTTAACATAGAATTAGCAAATACACAAAATTGTGGTTAACTAGCATTCAAGCTAATGGCACTAGGACATTAAGGACATTTTACTTACATTTTTGGGGTTAAAAAAAGGTTGTATGTTCAAAGTGACCTCGTTGGTCAGTATCACATTATCTTTGAAAATAAAGAGGAAAAAATTGAGAACTTTCCTTCTTTCCATGACTGTCAGGAAATTATGAAAATTATGATGCAACTTATTGAACATGATGCTGAACATGTGACTTGTGTGGAATTATTCAAACTATTTCAGAGGGGTTAGCGGTTAGGCCACGGCGCTGTCACCGCTGCAGCCTGGGTTCGATTCCCAGCCAGGGAACCGCCCCCAGCATGCAACAACGTGCTCTCAGTGCCGGTTCCAAGCCTGGATAAAATTGGGGAGGCTTGTGACAGGAAGGGCATCCGGCGTAAAAACTGTGCCAAATCAAATACACGGACCAATGATCTGCGGTGCTGACCCCTAACAGGAGCAGCCGAAAGAGGAACAACAATTTCTTAGTGGTGATTGCGTTCAGGTAACAGGGTTGAGTGAATGTTGTAGGACACTAAAATGTCAGTGTTTTTATAGCCTATAATGGCTAAGTCATGGAAAAGGATGTTTCAAGTGTGAGATGTTAAATGGATTTACACATTAATGCAAAAATTATTATATTTGGAGGTAATGTGTAGTTATAGTGGGCTGAGAGGCAAAAATACTGTTTTCTATTAGCTGTAGAGAGGTTTTATTAATGTTATTTGACTGAAACATTCACGTAGGTTGTTATGAAGAACATTCTGCTTTTATTTAAAACATTTTTACTTTTACACACACATTTGCAAACGTAATATCAGTAGCAAATGGCACCACAGTCCTGGACTCACCCATATATCTCAGTGGGACTAACCTGTTTAAAAGAAATTTACATTACAGCGCAGGAAGATTTATATTTTAATCATTAAACAAATTGCTAAAACTGTTTGAGTTCATGCCAAAAGATAACCATGTATACACAGGGCAAAGTCAGGTCAGTGTTGTCTGCTGCTTCGTTACTCACTGGCTGCGTTAGATACTCGCGTTACATCATGAGACTGCATACACGGAAATGGCTGCTCAGACTTGCTGTACATGAGCATGAATCACTGCTTGAATTTAGTAACTTGTTGAGGCAGGAAAGAAGTGTTTCCTGAGATTAAAAACCATTTAAGGATGCTGAATACAAGTTTTTCAAAATGTGGCTGTTCTGTTATTTTCTCACTAACTTAAAATAGGATTAACTGGCACTGTTTACTCAATCTGTTAAATCTGAAAAGAAAGCCAAGATGTTTTGGTAAGATGATACTGCTGTTGATACAGATTCCCTGCTTATTTAGACCTTGAAATTCTTTCTTATTTTTCTTCGGTTTCATTATTTATTTATATTTATCTCTCAGGATAAAAATGTGTATTAGAGTTTCAAGTTTATTTGTCACGTGCACAAAATGTCAGTGACAATCGTACATTGAAAGGCTTGTTTTTGAGGCTCAGGTACTCTACAGCTGTGCAATACAAAATACAGTGTGCAATACACTTAAAGCAAATAACAAAATCCAACCGAAGTATATAACCACGTGATCATATGTCCACCATTAAATTTTCACTCACGTCTGAAGGCTACACCTAATGCACCGTGTAAACCACAGGGTGGATAGGTTAACAATGCCGACTGCCTTTTCCTGCCTCAGTCATAGCACATTAGGGCAAATGTAGGGCACATTACTCGGAGTAAAGAGATACGACCACACACATGGACTCCCAGTCTCAGTCGAGTCAATCACTGTCAAATCTCTATGATCAGCACCACATGGAAATATGGTGAATTCCTGGCGATTTAATTTGCCAGGAATGTGGCCTGTATATATTTCAACTGTAATTTCAGTGCATCTTCCCCTTCAGAGTTTTACTGTTCATGTACTTACATAAATAACATCATTATGCCAATCAGCTTGGAAATCAGGACTGAACCTTCAGCTTAATGTTACTCCTGAAAAAGTGGAATTTACTAATTATTCATGAGTACAGCAGAGGGAGAAGCACTCACCATCAGACACAACTGGCAAAACAATTCACATTCAAATTTCTACTCGGCTACCAAGGTGTGGCAATTAACACTTCCGTCAGGAGCGACCATTACTGAAATTAACACACTCTTACCAGTTTCGCCTATGTTTGATCTGGATCGTGGTAGCAGTTAATAACCCATTAAACACTTCGCTGGAGGCTTTTCAGATCATCTCCCCCACTGCCTTTCACTCTGATGTCCTGCATGATAAAACAGGTCCCGAATGAAGACGGATAAGATCTACAGAAAAGTATGCAGATTGAGGAAAAAAGACACTGACAGAATTAACCAATTTGTTTGCTCTAATGTTAAATTTGCATAATTACAGTGGAAAATATACCGGTTATTCTTTGTTTCCAGTGGTGAACATTTTTTAATGCTAGACACTATGATTATGTTTAGGATACAACGCACCCATGCATATAAAAAGCAGGTGTTAAGCAGAGTTAACTATAAGTTTCAGAGCAGTAAATGCAAAACACATGGACCAGCAAAGAACATGGTCCCCTGTCCAACACGATCAGACATAAAAGCCAAATATATGTGGGCTGACAGCTTACTTCAGGTCAGCTTGTAAAAAATGACAGAAATTGCCTATTACAATGGTCTATAGAACAGTTTGATCATTTCTTTTGGAATGATCACATTTTTATAAGGATTATGAATTGACAAATCTTCTCTCACGGTAAAAACTCCTTATTTAAAATGAAACCCAAAAAGAAGATATCGAACATGGTTGTATGTGCATTTTGTGTCACTACATGAGTAATTAACCAGCTGTCCCTAACATAACCAAACTCCAAAAGTACTGACATTTTCTTGGACAGGCCATTTTCTGTCCAGTTCCCATCTGGGTGTTGGAGTGTTGGGTGGAGTTGGGATCTGTTAAGTCAATCAGGGGATTGGAGACACAGTCATGAGTCCATCTGTCACTTGGGTATCCAGAGAACAGCACTGACAGTTTAATTAGCTTTTATAGAGGTGCCTCGGAGTGGGAGAAATGTCTTGACAAAAGAGTAGAGGGCAAAAGATGGAGAAGTGTCCAAGGAATAAGCAATGCAAGCCATATGTCTGATGGGTCAATAGTCCCACTGTGAATAAACAAATATGGCTGAAACAGCTGTGTGTTTCTTGTGAATCCAGTAAGATCTAAATTTTGTGTAAAATTGGATCTTGGCTGGACTTTAAATGATTCCATGATTCAGCTGATATGGCTCACCAAGAGTTTAATATTGGAATTCATCGTGTATTGTTTATCACCAAAAAGCACTGATTTGTAAAAAAAAAAATCTATCAAGTCAATCCCTCTAAATAAATGTCACGCTCATTGAAAGGCTGTAGAAGGCATGTGGGAAACTTGTTCAGACCAATCCAGCTGGAGAGCTCTGTGTGTGTGTGTGTGTGTGTCGGGGGTGATTTAGGAAATGGAGGAAAATAGGTGACAACACCCAGACAGCCTCTCTCTGTCCCACCCAAGCCTTCCACTTCCCCCACCTTCTTGTGCCCTTTGCCCTTGTTGTGTGCTTGAGAGCTGTCGTCTCCCAGCCATCCACCTCCTGTCTCAATAAACAACATGGAGCCACCTGAGGAAGAAGCACTGTTTAATGTTTCTATTCTTAGCCTGTTCTCAGGCCCTTGTCGTTACATCCAGTACGAATCATTTCCCTCTTAAGGCTTGTGAAATAGTCTAGATTTAAACACTTAGTGTCCTAGCAAGCAATTACACAGATTATGTATGTATATATATATATATATATATA